AAAAAAAGTTACATTTTACATAATGCAGCCTCTTTAACATTGAGGTGTTTGGGTTCAGGAAGGCAGCTAAACTTAATTTATTTTTGTTTAATCTACATCAAAAACAATGTAAATCACAGTGTTAACTGAACAATCACTTAGATTTATAATATTAGTTCATACTTTTGCACCAGATATATTGTGATATGTGAGTACTTGTAAACACATCAGGAGAAGCTGTCTAGAAAACACCCAAAACCTGAGCAGTTCAGCTCAGCTTGGTGCAGATACTATTCATGTTCATTTTATTCATAAATCATGGAGAATTAGATGCAAATTGCATATGCAATTAACACTAAAGGCAATGCAATACTGCTGTTCAGTATGCGTAATTGGATTTTCAGCATGCAATAAAGTAAGTGTAATCTGATTACTACTGCTTATAGACGCCTTCTGCTTCCTTCTCCACTCACCGCTCAGGCTGCTGGCCTCCACTGTTCCCACAGATGTTCCCAGCGGTGCGTCTTCAGGCACTGTGAAGGCGTAGCGCGACCTCAGGAACACCGCTGGAGCCTCAGCACTTTGGACAACGTTGATAGTGACTTCTGCGGGTCTGGCTGAAGACAAGCCGTCTCCATCCTGCGCTGTTATTAGGAGCTTCATGCTGGCTGCACCCAAGTGTGTCAGAGAAGAGTTCAAGAAGAGCATTCCTACAAAAAAAATTCAGAAATAAATCAGGTAGAGTTTGCTTAGTATTTTCATATAACTAGGATGATGCAAAAATAACAGATTCATCTAGCTGTTTTTTATTTCTTTAATCTAGCTCTCTGAATAATCATCAAAACAACCACTTCATGTTAGAAAATGGCATTTAGAGCATTGTTAAACACAAGTTGATGATGTATTTTCTTTTTTCGCAACTTTTAAATTCTTTGTAGCTGTGCATAGACCTGGTTTTACCCCCGACCACACTGGGATCCAAAGCTTTTAAGCTTTGTGCTCCACCCCTGCTGAGTGGTGACACTTGGAATCATATCATGGGGACTTAGAGCAGCTAACAAGGCGTTTATCCCTGAAAACAACTGACACTCAAACAGGTTACTTAAACACAAGTGAATCTGTGCAACAAATCAAGCTTAGAAGCCATTTTTATAACATTTTATATACAACCCTAAGTTAATAAAGGAGCTTCTTAGAAGAACAAGCTTTATAAGGTGACGTAAGGTGGGAATTCATTTAAAATAATTTATTTTAGATAAATTTGTAAAGTGCTCAACACAATAAAAATGTTAAATAAACCTAAAATGTTGAGCTAAGATGTTGATGTTGGCCCTAAATAAATAGTCAAAAACAAAACTATATGTATTGAAAATGAAGCATAAAGCACAATAAAAGTGTCCAATTTAATTAAAGGTGTTTTTTAAAGCAATAAACAAGATTTAAGTAACAAACATATTGTTCAATAGCGGCTATATGAGAGGATTGGTCCTTGTTGACATTAAAGTTGGCCGGTGGATTGATAATAGAGTAAATCTGAGATAAAAAATAACTTGCTCATTCAAGACTCTGCAGTCAATCATTTTAAAACCGTTTCTGGAATGAACTGGTGAACAGTGTAGTGATGACAGAGGTGGGTGTCAAAACTACAGACAAAACTAATGAAGTATAGTTTTACAGTTTTAAAATATAAATATAGTCCACCTGTGTGTGTATCCAGTGTAAACAAACTGGACATGTCTCCTGGATGAATTTCGTAGGTAACCTGTCCGAACCGGCCGGAGTCCTGGTCCGTAGCGATGACATTGACCACCTCGGTACCAGGAGGTGCGTGGCTGCTGACGCTCACGGTGTATTCCTCAGGACTGAACACTGGAGCGTTGTCATTTAAGTCTTGTATCTCAATGTGAACGTATGTTTGAGCACTCAGGCCTCCCTGAACGAGAAACAAAAAGAATTAGAACTAAGAAAATTTAAGAAAACTTTGACATCATCTCTCAATCATGACCTTGATTCCACTCACTGGATCTTCAGCTTTGATCAAAATGTCATGGACACTCGTCCCGTCGTCCCGATCGATATCCTGAGAGACACACAGCTCTCCTGTGTGAGGATCGATTTGGAAAAGAGGATGACTTTCCTGACTGTCAAATCCATCCGACAGGGAGTAGAGCAGAGCACCAAACTCAGGGCTGTCTGCGTCCGTGGCAACAACCTAAAGCAAAGATAAACACAATTTTCATATATACTCGTGTTAAAATATTATAAAAGGCACATCGGTTCAGACAAATCACATGTTTGATGTTTTTTTGTGATGTTTGTGAAAAACAAACATCTGCTTTGTTTTTCATAAAGCAGATGTTTTTTTTTTTTATTAAAAATGAGGATTTAATAATTTAAAAAAAAATCTGTCCTAAACGATTGTATCAGTCAGGTGATGTTTAAGTACAACAACTTTCACTCCTGGTCTTACCATCACCAACACACAACTCGGCTTTTTGAATAAATGTATGAGGAAAAACATATACGACTCTCACAATGGTAAAAAAAAACAGGTAAAGTAAGTTATTTTTAGAATTAAAATTATATACTTAATTAATCCATTTGACCATAACAAAATCCACCTTGTATTTTTCCATTTTACAAAATGCTACTTAGTTTTGTTTTAATGTGTTCTCATCTAATCATAGTTGTTCTAGTTTGTTTTAACTGCACATTTCTGGAAAGGTGAAGGTCAACATAATAAAAGTGCAAAAAAAAAAAAAAAAAAAATTTTTGGGAGAAAAAAGGAGAAGGAGAGCAACCGAATAGAATTTAAA